TGTGGTATTCTTAAAAACATCATTGCATTTTAGACTGATGTTTTCTGAAGCAGGGCAAACACACAGAAATTCCCACTCGCTAGCTTTACAAATTTCATAGTTTCTGCATTCTACTTAATGCAAGGTCAACAGGAAAAGAAAAGAAAAAAAAATTCTATTTGATAATATAGCAGGCACCACCTGGAATGGCACCACCACAGAAAGAAGACCCATGGTAAGAGAGAATAATAGCTTTCACAAAGCAAGACTTGAGCGTCTAGGTAAGAAATGACTTGCTTGTTCTGCCTCTAGTGATTCTATCACTTGCGTGTCTTACAGGCAGGAATTTGTGATGATGAAGTAGAATCACAGAATCACAGAATGGTCTCGGTTGAAAGGGGCATTTAAAGATCATCTAGTTCCATCCCCTCTGCCATGGTCAGGGACACCTCCCACTAGACCAGATTGCTTAAAGCCCCATCCAGCCTGGCCTTGAACACCTCCAGGAATGGGGCATTCACGACTTCTCTGGGCAACCTGTTCCAGTGCCTCACCACCCTCAGAGTAAAGAATTTCTTCCTTATGCCCAATCTAAAGCTATCGTCTTCCAATTTAAAACTATTACCCAATGTCCTGTCACTACAGGTCGTGGTAAAAAGTCTCTCTCCATCTTTCTTATAAGCCCTCTTTATATATTGAAATAAATTGCATTCATTTTCTTCTTACTATATTCTTTTTCATGGTAACATCAGAACACAGACAAGTTAGATGGAAACTGTATAGGTACATCGCAAACAAAGGGATAACACATGTTTAAGAATGTTGAATGTGTTAACAGTGTGGTCACTGAAAACAGAGAAACAAGTTTTCAAAGATTCAGACAAAACCTGGCACATTCAGATCTATCCCAGATGCAGCACTTGACGATGCATGAACCTGAATATAAAATGGCTTTAAATATTTGAGGAAATTCTTATTCACAGTAGGGGTTTTAGGTTGAGTAAGTTCACGATCACACTTATTTTTAAAAAACATAGTAGTGCTTGGTCTAGAGCAGCTCAGTGTTTATGGATTATACAGTTTATTATTTGCATAACTCTGTTGTAGGTGTGAATGTATATCTTCACATATTCTAACACAGACAAAAATGAGTCCCCAGTGAATCCTGATCAGAAGATTACTGCAGCTACTTGGACAAAAAGCATGAAATAGATCTTAGTTATAAGAATCTCCGGGGGTTTTGGTTCCACTTTATGTTTTGTTCTCAAATTATTAAATCCTCCCTCATTCGTTATTTCCTACTCTGAGCAGCAAACTCTGGCTTCTGCTTTGGGAGCTTCTGGGGACAAGGTCCATGATTATTGGGGAACAACTGGAAACTCTCTGAGGGTGCCGGCTGCTGCCAGGTAAGGACATGGTAAGGGCAGCCACAAGGTCAATAGCTGGCTGGTCAGAGCTGATGGTGGTGACAGGGCTGGGTTCTATGACCATGGGCCCTGCTTGCAGATGAGCGTCTGCTTGTGAGAGAGAGGATCCACCTCACCAAGCAGGGCAAAGGTACCTGTGCTGAAATGTCTGACCTGGTAAGAAGGGCTTTAAAGTACAAATGCTGGGGGAGGGAGAGAGAATCATCAGCAGTTTTGTAAGGGTGTGATGCACAGGGCTGATGAGTAAAGAGTCTGGAGTGGTGTGATAGGAAGGGATCATAAAATCAACAAAAGAGGGCTCAAGCAAGCTCACCTCCACTGTTTTTGTGTAAGCAAGGAAGTGCCTACAGGGCACCATTATGGAGAAACCTCCAAAGCCCTTTCTGGGAAATCAGTATGGTGGGGTTCCTCTGTAAAATGCCTATGTAATAATATGCAGAGTATGAGGAATAAACATAATGAGTTTGATCTGTGCGCAGTTGCAGGATATGATGCTGTTGGGATCATAGAGACATGATGGGGTGGCTCTCATGACTGGAGGTATTGCAATGGAGGGATACAAGCTCTTAGGCTGAGAAGATGAGGAGCTGGAGTTGCCCTTTATGTGAGAACAGCTGGAGCACATAGAGCTCTGCCTGGGGGTGCATGATAAGCCAACTGAGAATTTATTGGTTAAGATTAAAGAGAAGACAGGTAAGGGTGACATTGTAGTGCATGTCTGCTGTAGGATGCCTTACCAGGAAGAGCAAGTGGATGAGGCCCTCTACAGACAGCTAGGAACAGCCTCATGTTTACAGGCCCTTATCCTTATGGGGAATTTTAACCACTGCAACATCTGCTGGAGGGACATGCAGTAGGGCATAAGCAGTCCTGGAGGGCATTGACAAGAACATCCTGACACAAGTGATAGAGCAGCCAATGAGAGTGCTCTGCTGGACCTCATAATCACCAACAAAGAGGGGCTCAATGGGCATGTGAAGGTCAAAGGCAGCCTTGGCTGCAGTGACCATGAGATGGCAGAGTTCAGGATTCTGAAAGGAGGGAGAGGGCAAAAAGCAAGATCACAACCCTGGATTTGAGGAGAGCAGACTGGCCTCTTTGGTGATCTCCTTGGAAGAGTCCTACGGGATAAGACCCAGAGGGAAGAGGGGCCCAAGAAAGTTGGTTGATATTCTAGTATCACCTCCTCAAAGCTCAATGAATGGGACAGGGGACCTGGTGGCATAGGACACAGAAACAGCTGAAGTACTGGGTGCCTTCTTCAATACCAGACCAGTCTGAAGGAAGGAAGTCATATCCTTGGTGGAAGAGGATTAGGTCAGGCAATACTTAAACTGGACATGCATAAATCCACGGGACCTGAGGGGATGCACTCATGAATACTGAGGAAGTCTACTGATGTCATTGTAAGGCCACCCCATAATCTTTGAACAATCACGGCAACTGGAAGGACTGCCTGAGGACTAGAGAAAAGCAATGGTCACTTCTATGTTCAAGAAGAAGAAGAAGAAGGAGAACCCACAGAACTACAGGCTGGTCAGCCTTCCCTTGATCCCTGGGGAGGTGATGGAGAGCAGCTAATCCAGAGAACGACATCCAAGCACATGAAGGACATGAAGATGATTAGGAGTAGCAATCATGGATTCACCAAGGGGAAGTCATGCTTGACAACCAGATCACCTTCTGTAATGAAATGACAGATTGGGTAGATCAGGGCCAAGCAGTGGATATTGTCTACGTAGACTTCAGTAACGCCTTTGACACTGTCTCCGGTAAGATCCTCATAGAAAAACTGTTGAAGTACAGGCTGGAGGAGCAAACAGTGCATTGTGAACTGGCTGAATGGCTGGGCTGAGAGTGGTGATCAATGGTATGAAGTCTTGTTGGAAGCCAGCAACTAGTGGTGCATTCCAGGGACGAATCCTGGGTCCAATCCTGCTCAACATCCTCATTAATGACCTTGAAGATGGGTCTGAGTATACTCTCTGCAAGTTTGCTGATGATATAAAACTTGCAGGCGTGGCTGATACGACAGACAGTTGTGCTGCCTTCTGGCAGATGGACTTGGACAGAATGGAGAAATGAGCTGACAGGAACCTCATGAAGTTCAACAAGGTAAAATGTGAAGTTTTGCACCTGGGGAGGAAGAACCCCATGTACCAGTACATGCTGAGGGCCTCCTAGCAGGAAAGCAGCTTAGCAGAAAAGGGCCTGGGGGTTCTGGTGGACATCGAGTTGAACATAAGCCAGCAATGTGCCATTGCAACAACAAAGGCTAATGGTATCCTGGGCTGCATTAGGAGGAGTGTTGCTAGCAGGTTGAGGGAAATGATCCTTCCTTTTTCCTCAGCTCTGATGAGGACACACCTGCAGTCCTGTGTCCAGTTCTGGGTTCGTCAGCATAAGAGAGACATGGATTTACTGGAGACCATCCAGTGTTGGGCACTAAGATGATGAAAGGACTCGATTACCTCACATATGAGCAAAGGCTGAGAGAGCTCAGACTGTCTGGCCTGCAGCAGAGAAGGCTCAGAGAGGATCTCACCAATGTATATAAATAACTGAAGGGAGGACGTAGAAAAGATGGAGCCAGACTGTTTTCAGTGGTGTCTGGTGACAGTGCCAGAGGCAATGGGCACAAGCTGAAACACAGGATGTTTGTTCTGAACATGAGGAAATATTATTTTTTTTTCCTCCATGGGTAAATGAGCACTGGCACAGGTTGCCCAGAGAGGCTGGGGAGTCTCCGTCCCTGGAGATATTCAAAAGCCAGCTGGACAGGGTCCTGGGCAACTGGCCCTAGGTTGCCCGGCTTGAGCAGTGGTGTTGTTCTAGTTGTTCTAGATGACTTCCAGAGTTCCCTTCCAACCTCAACTGTTCTGTGATTCTATGGTTGTTTACACATAACACATAACAAACAATATTGAAGATTTGGGCATTCAGTAATAATATGCACTGTGGAATTTGCAATGCATGCTTAAAGCCTGATTTAACAAAAACACACTTGAATCTTCTGTAATAAAGGCTAGATACTATCCTTGCCTCACCCGGAGTCTGCACGGAAAGGTGGGACAGTGCAAACACAGATCACCGCACAAGCAATCATGTGTGAATATAGGTAAGTGTGCAGAATCATGCCCCAAAGGCAAGGCAAGTACAAACTAATTTATATGGACATGTAGGGCTGAATGAAACCTGAAGACAGCAGTCCAATATATTATAATGACATATCATATCTAAGCCAGTGAAAAGAGTTCCCTGTGCCCTTTGACTGAATCCCGTGACCCGCAACTGCATGTTACCATACACTGTACTTGTTAATGTGTTATGGCTCACAACAAGTAACTGTATGATACAGTTTCTGCACATGTTTTATTCTGTAAACTTTCCTTAGTGTTGCTCTAAGTCCCCCTTTTTTTTTCTTTTGTTCTGGATACCTTCAGTATTTCACCCGTATTGACGATGGAAACAGCCATCAACAGTGTGAAGAAGACACTCCTTTTGTACTATATTGCTAATAATTTCCTGGGCTCTGTCTTACCACCAAATTGGACCTGTGGATGGAGAAATAACACACACTAGGAAATGACTTACCCTCCTTCTTCAGAGTATTTGTGACCAAAGGCAAGGATGTCAGACGCCCGGCCACTGCCATCGCATATCACAACAGGAACAGGAGGAGTATCTCGCAGGTACTCCAGAACGATGGAGATAACATTGGGACCTCCTTCCACAATGAGGGCCACCACCGGAACCCCTTGACCAATTCCTGGAGTAAAAGTAAGAAACAAACGAAAAGCCCGGACAAAACAGAAAAGGAACAAAAAAATGCAAAACCAGCAAAGCAAATAAAACATAACAGAAGACAGAAAAAAAAAAAAAATCGCACTGAAATTACTGCACTGTGACTGTACAGTGTTATGTCAGAGAAAATGGCATTTGGAAAATCACAGATTTTTAAGGACAGAAGGGACCACTGTAGTCATCGAATCAGTTCCAATGCATAAACCAGGATTTTCTAGAATTATCTTCTGTTTTAAATACCACAGTTATGATTGAAATAGGCCATGAATTTTTTAAAAGATCAAATCTTGATTTGAAAGCTTAGAAAAGCTCCCACAGTTCTTTCTAACATGTTCGGAATCATGACTTTGTAGCTTGCTTGTAATCTAGATTTTGTATGGGTCAGTTTCCAATCATTGGGTCTTCTAGTGGCTTTCCTTGCTGTTTTAAAATCCCTTCTATGATATTTTTGTTGCTGTATTAGGTGCATTTTAAAGCTGCCTACAGATAGCCCTGTAACCTTCTCTTTGATAAACTAAATGTATTCTATTACAAGTCAATGCAATAGTTATTTTCCAATTCTAGTCAGTCTCACAGTTTTTCTCTGAATTCTCTCCCAGTTTTGCAGCATATTCCTTGTTTTGCAGACGACAGAGTGGGTACATTGCTCCAGAGACAGCTGAACTAGTGCTGAACCAGGGAGAGACATCTTCATTTTCAATACTTGTGGTAGAATTAGACGGGAGCCCTCTGCAAAAGTTACAGCACAGTCTTTGCCGGGAAAGTCTCATGGATTTAGAGAAATGCAATCTGACACCAGGATGGCATTAACATGACTGAAAAAGCTTTTATGGTTGTCACTTCTTGACCGGTTGGGACTTGGGACATTCAAACGGACCAAGGCAGTAGAATTAGTTAAACATTTTCTTTTTTTTTTTTGGGGGGGTGGGGTGGGGTGGGGTGCGGTGGGGTGGAACAGAAAGACTTTTTCCCTTTAAACCCGCTTTTCCTAAGAAAAACTATGTGCGTTCTGCACAAAATTTTGATGTTTCACTGAAAAATAAAAAGAGTGCCCAAAAATTGCTGGGTCAGGAAAAGTTGCATGAGGGTTTCCATTTAGAGGTAGTTTTGTCCACGGAAGCGAAGGGACTGAAACATTAAATCTTGTTAGACCCCCTAGAAACATGCACCAATCAAATGATTTTTGATAGTCACAAAAGTTTTTAAGGATTTGAATTACTGTCAAAAACCAAAGTGAACTGTTACTTAAAAAAGAAAAAAAAAAACGGTTCTTACATAAAACAGCAAAATATTGTAAGCACTCCTGAACCACTTTACAAGCAAACATTGTGTTTCCTGGAGAGACTCTCAGCATGCTTCGTTATGGTTGTATGTACTGTCAGTTTGTGGCTCTTATTATATAACTTAAGTAAAGTGTGCGGTGTTTATTTATGTTAAGAAAGCTACAAACAGAGTTATAAAATGCAGGATAATGAAAGAGAGTAAGAAGGGTAGGATATTACAAAGTGGTTAACAGAATGATTTGCACAGAGCTCACTGATTAATTTCTTTATTAATATTAAGGACTTCCCTGAATTACTGCTCTACTTAATAATGAAATTTTTTTTGTGGTTAAATTCTTTCCAAAGGTCTTAGTGGAAAACAGTTTTGGGGAACAGAGTCAAATGAGAAAGGGAAAATAAGAACCTTGCTTAAGAAGAGTGATTTTTAAGTCTGATGGGTTAATCTATTCCACATGTACTTCCATTAACTTTAAGGGACTTAAGCTAAGGATGAATTTTGTTTGGCAAATTTGTGTTGTTTACCTACATTCTTTTAATCATGCTAAAAACTGCATCCCTTAAAAATGCACTCTAGATATTAGTGATAAAACCCCATTTTTTTTCTGAGGATCTTATAAATAATATGATTTTCTTCCCATAGCAATAGATGTAATATGATACATCTTGTTGCAGTTGAGGATGCTGCAGAAAACTTCACATCACAAGTCTGCCCAGGTTTTCCTTTGCTACTAGATGACTAAAGAAATGTTGTCTATAGTTATGTCTAGTACAAGAATTATTTTTTTTTTTGTAAGACAATTGTGATCAGAAAACAAATAAAAATGGAATTCTTGGTGTGGACATGTCTACTTGAGTAACTTTAAATTTGAAAAAGAGAGTAAGAAACAATTATCCCATTCTTAGTTTTCTATGGTGTTCCCAATCACATTTAAATTATTTGTGACATTATATTTGCGTCAGAACAAAGGCTTAGCTACTTATACCAAAGAAGTCAGCTTCTCAATAACTCTCTGGTAAAACACAGAGCAGACTTGAATTAAACTTGCACATGGTTTGATACCAAAAATCCTGGATTAATATACTAGAAATTTGGAAATGAATGCAATCTGTAGAAAAATTTCAGTTGGTAGGAAAACACTGACTGCCTATTCCTGATTAGATATTAACACTGCATTTGCTAACAAATTTGCATCTATGCAACTGAGAACTGACCATGCCTTGTCCAACTGTAGCACCTGACCACTTTGAAAAATGTTGGCATGTGATGCCAATAAGAAGAACCTCTGACTCAGGGAAGAAGGTAGCTCATGGACTTCTCTTTAAGTGGTAATAAAAATATTTTTGCTTCTAGGTCTCTCTATCTCCTTAGAAATGCAAGAGTGTGGAATTCTCTGCAAGAGCACTATTTAAGCTTGTGCATGCACATTATACAACAGTCTGCAAAGAAGGGTCTGGACGTGCCTGATATAGCCACAGAGAGACTCTTGTTTCAGCCACTTCATTCAGAAGGAGAATGTCAGGCTGGGAGGTGAGATACCAAATCTGAAGGTAATACATTCCTTACAAAGCCAAGGACATCATCATTATAAAAAGAGTTTCTTTCTGAGTTGAGATGTAGAAAAGGAGGCAATGCTGAGATACAATCATGCTGATGAAAAACTGGACTACAGTACTGGGGTTGCTGTCTGCTAGCACACATCCAGAAGGTGGGGACTTTGTGCTAAGCATTAAAATGGACGGTCCTGTAAAGCAACAAGCAAGACGTTTCCCCTTAATGTTTCTTGTGGAATTTACTACAAATTTGTCCTAGTCTGAGCAAAACTAAGGATAGCACTCATGTTGCTGGGCTATCTCCAACAACGTTGCTGTTTTCACTAAGTTCTCTAAAAGTATACAACCTTAGAAATTGTGTGTTCCGCATTTTATTAACTCGAAAGAGAGTAGCAGTAATGCACTCCACCAAAATATTGTCCATTCAGAAATTGAACTCAGCTTTTCCTACATCCTTTGTAGATGCAGACTCATCCTCTTTTAAGTTCAAGGGAATTATTTTAAAATATCTGAAAAATTGTGTTTTCCAACAATCTGATAACTACATGGAGGATTTATTTTTAAATTTACTCAGTTTTTTGTTGTTTTTTTTTTCAGTATTTCTAGGATAAGCTTTAGTTTCAGCAAATCTTTTTCCTTTTCCATTTGGAAGATGGAGAAAACTTCTTGTCTAGCAGTATATCTGCAGACTTGAGAATAGCTGGGAATGCTGACAATTGTGTTACCACCGTGAGGTTTATCACTTGGTTAACCACACTTATGTTTCAAGATGATAAAGGTCTGATCCCAAAATCAAAGGTTTCCCTACTTAGGAACAGTCTCAGGATTTTTATTCTGTGTTATAGAAAATAGTTTGTAAACCAGGGGGAAGATTTTTTTTTCTCAGGTTTTCAAAGAAAATATGCAGCTTGTATTCAAGAGCAAGTATGTGTGAAACATCTCACACAAACTTGCACAGTACTATTTCTCATGTAATAAGGTCTCCATCTCACATACCAAAGTCTTAGTATTCCTGCTATGAATGCAAAAAGTCTCTTATGACTTAATTAATAGAATACAGACAAAATAGTGTTTTTTATTTTCATTTTATATAATGATTTATCCAAAAAGAAGAAATAGTACCAAAGACCTGGGAGATAAAATAAGTTTTCTAAGGCTCATCACTATATTAATTTCTAAAAGAATAACTTGTATCTGGAGCCTTTCAATAACTGTAGATTTTTGCAGGGTAGACTAGACTGCTCAGTGTTTCACAGTATCAGCCTTGGTGGATATTGTAGGTGCAATATTGTAAATTAGACTGCAATATTGTACAGAAGATTTATACTGTCAACTTAAAGCTTCATTAGTGTGTTATTGCCTTTGTGGCCAGCAACAGAGCCAGTGAGAGATTTTCCAGCAATTGTGATTCCAGGAAAGTACACACATACCAGAACATTTTTCCTAATGTGAGTCAGTGGCAACTTGTAGGCCTTCATGTTATTATACAGAAAAATAATCCCATTTTGCCCTTGACACAGCGGTAGTGCATGAATATGTAAGTTAAAACAATAATCTAGAAGAAATGAATGAACTTGGAAATGGAAGCAAGGAAAAACTGCATAATGTCTGTGCTGTGTGAAAAGGGATTTTAAAAAATCTACCATGCTTTGCAGAAGCCCTACTTTGTTTTCCCAGTTCTTGGAAAATCATGAATATTTTATACTGTGAGTACATTTATGAATAATCTATAACTGTCTGATAAATTATTACTAATTCCTTTTATGAAGAGCTAAACATGAGTTACCCATTTTTTTATTGACCAACAAGTGAATAAAATGCCTCATTTACTACAAAACGCATTTACTACTGATGTTTTTAAATGTGCTTATAAGAGTAAATGGGACATATCATTATATTGCATATTATTTCTAAGTTCACCCCTGAGATCAGTGCACACAAAACTGAGAGGCTCTAGTTTACCATCCCTGACTCCCTATTTTCTGTATCGTAACACTGGATGGTGGTAGGTGCATCTAAGCTGAGTTCCTCCTGGCCACCTTTGCTCCTTCATCAGGTCAGACATGTTGGTGTGGGCTCCCCTACATTCATTTTCTTTTTCTACTTGGAAATTTTGGCTGGAGAATTTGGT